GCCCTGGTGGCGTAGTGGGGTTAAGCGCTTGGCTGCTAACAGAAAGGTTGGCAGTTCGAACTCACCAGCTGCTCTGTGGGAGAAAGATGTGGCGGTTCTACTCTGTCCTACAGGGTTACTATGAGTCAGAATCTAATTGAATTGAAGGCAGTGGATTTGGTTTTTTTAGTATTCCGTTGTGTGTCTATATTACACTTTGTTTATCCATTCATCTATTGATGGACATTTTGGTTGTTTCTATCTTTTGGCTATGGTGACACCCCGCTTAAAATTTTAATAACTCCTATTGACCACATAATCAAGTCCAAACCCTTTAGAATACCGTACAAGACCCCCTCCCTCCTACCTCTGGAGCCTCTGATGTGGGTACAGACCCCTTCTCCCCATTATATCCCATGTTCTAGTCATAAAAACTTTCTGGCAGTTACCTGAACAGGACAAGCACACTTCATGAAACATTCGTGTCTCCATGTCTTTGTTCGTATTGCTTCCTATGCCTCATCTTCTTTGCCTCATTTACTGGGCAAGCAACTACTCATTTTTTTTAAAAAATTTTTTCCCATACAAAAATTTATACATGCATTGTTATGTGACCCTAATTGCTCTCCCCATACTGTGACAGCACACTCCTCCTTTCCATCCAATTCCCCATGTCCATTCAACCGGCTCCTAACCCTCTCTGCCCTCCCATCTGACCTCCAGACAGAAGCTGCCCATTTAGTCTCCTGTATCGACTTGAGCTAAGAAGCACACTCCTCAAGAATATCACTTTATGTCCCACAGTCCAGTCCAATCCCTGTCTGAAGAGTTGGTCTCGGAAATTGTTTTAGTTCTGGGCTGATAGAGAACCCAGGGGCCATGCTTTCCCGGGTGCCTCCAGTCTCAGTCAGACCATTAAGTCTGGTCTTCTTACTAGAATTTGAGTTCTGCACCCCACCTTTCTCCTGCTCCATCAGGGACTGTCTGTTGTGTTCCCTGTCAGGGCGGTCATTGGTGGTAGCCAGGCACCATCTAGTTCTGGTGTCAGGCTGATGAAGTCTCTGGTTTATGTGGCCCTTTCTGTCTCCTGGGCTACTACTTTCCTTGTGTCTTTGGTGTTCTTCATTCTCCGTTACTCCAGGTGGGTGGGACCAATTGATGCATCTTAGATGGCCGCTTGCAAATCTTTTAAGACCCCAGACACCACTCACCAGAGTAGGATGCAGAACATTTTCTTATTAAGCTTTGTTATACCAATTGACCTAGATGTCCCCTGAAAGCATGGTCCTCCGACCCCTACGCCTGCTACTCTGTCCCTCAAAGTGTTTGATTGTATTCAGGAAACTTCTTAGCTCTGCTTTACTCCAGTTGTGCTGACTTTCTCTGTAGTGCAGTGCCGTCCTTCTCGTCACCTAAGATAACTCTTTTCTACTATCTAGTTAGTAAATAACCCTCTCCCTCCCTCCCCACCCTTATAACCATCAAAGAATCTTTTCTTCTGTGTTTAAACCTTTCCTTGAGTTCTTATAGTAGTGGTCTTATACAGTATTTGTCCTTCTGTGACTGACTAAATTCACTCAGCATAACGACCTCCAGCTTCCTCCATGTCATGTTTCACGGCTTCATCATTGTTCTTTATCGTTGCATAGTATTTCGTTGTGTGGATATACCATAATTTGTTTATCCATTCGTTTGTTGATGGGCACCTAGGTTGTTTCCATCTTTTTGCTATTGTGAACAGTGCTGCAATGAACATGGGTGTGCATATATTTATTTGTGTGATGGCTCTTACTTCTCTAGGATATATTCCAAAGAGCAGGATAGCTGCATCATATGGTACTTCTATTTCTAGCTTTTTAAAGCAGCACCAAATTGATTTCCAAAGTGGTTGTACCATTTTACATTCCCACCAACAGTGTATAAGTGTTCCAGTTTTTCCACAACCTCTCCAATATTTATTATTTTGTGTTTTTTGGGTTAATGCTGGCCTTGTTGGGGTGAGATGATATCTCATTGTAGTTTTGATCTGCATTTCTCTAATGGCTAATGATCGTGAGCATTCTTCATGTGTCTGTTAGCCGCCTGAATATCTTCTTTGGCGAAATGCCTGTTCATATCCTTTGCCCATTTTTAAATTGGGTTATTTGTCTTTTTGTTGCAGAGGTTTTGCAGTATCTTGTAGATTTTAGAGATGAGATGCCAATAGGATTTGTCATAGCCAAATTTTTTTTCCCAGTCTGTAGATTGTGTTTTTACTCTTTTGATGAAGTCTTTTGATGAGCATAAGTGTTTGATTTTTAGGACCTCCCATTTATCTGGTCTCTCTGCTGCTTGTGCATTGTTACTTATGGTTTGTATTGTGTTTATACCATACATTAGGGCTCCTAGTGTTGTCCCTATTTTTTCTTCCATGATCTTTATCATTTTCGATTCTATATTTAAGTCTTTGATCCATTTTGAAGTTAGTTTTTGAGCATGGTGTGAGGTATGGGTCTTGTTTCAGTTTTTGCAGATGGATATACAGTTATGCCAGCACCATTTGTTAAAGAGATTGTCTTTTCCCCAATTAACAGACTTTAGGCTTTTGTCAAAAATCAGCTGCTCATAGGTGGATGAATTTATGTCTGGATTCTCAATTCTGTTCCACTGGTCTATGTATCTGCTGTTGTACCAGTACCAGGCTGTTCTGACTACCATGGCAGTATAAGTTCTAAAATCAGGTAGTGTGAGGCCTCCCACTTCGTTCTTCTTCTTGAGTAATGCTTTACTTATTCAGGGCCTCTTCCCTTTCCATATGAAGGTGGTGATTTGTTTCTCCATCTCATTAAAAAATGCCAGTGGAATTTGGATTGGGATTGCATTGTATCTGTAGATCGCTTTGGGTAGAATTGACATTTTCATAATGTTGAGTCTACTTATCCATGAGCAAGGTATGTTTTTCTACTTATGCAGGTCTCTTTTGGTTTCTTGCAGTAGTGTCTTGTAGTTTTCATTGTATAGATCTTTTATGTCTCTGGTTAGATTTATTGCTAAGTATTTTTCCTAGGGGGCTATTATAAATGGTATTGATTTGGTGATTTCCTCTTTGAGGTTCTCTTTGTTGGTGTAAAGGAATCCAATTGATTTTTGTATGTTCATCTTGTATCTTGAGACTCTGCTTAAATCTATTAGTTCCAGTAGTTTTCTTGTGAATTCTTTGGGGTTTTCTGTGTATAAGATCATATCATCTGCAAACAGAGATACTTTGACTTCTTCCCTACCAATTTGGATGCCCTTTCTTTCTTTTTCTAGCCTAATTGCTCTGGCTAGAACCTCCAGCACAATGTTGAATAAGAATGGTGATAAAGGGCATCCTTGTCTGGTTCCCGTTCTCAAGGGGAGTGCTTTCAAAGTCTCTCCATTTAGGATATTAGCTGTTGGCTTTGTATAAATGCCCTTTACTGAGGAATTTCCCTTCTATTCCTATTTTGTTTCGTTTTTATCATGAATGGGTGCTGGACTTTTGTCAAATGTCTGTTCTGCATCGATTGATAAGATCATGTGGTTCTTGTCTTTTGTTTTATTTATGTGATGGATTACACTGATTGTTTTTCTAATGTTGAACCATCCCTGCACACCTGATATGAATCCTACTTGATCAGGGTGAATTTTTTTTTGATATGTTGCTGAACTCTATTGGCTAGAGTTTTGTTGAGGATTTTTGCGTCAATGTTCATGAGGGACACTGGTCTGTAATTTTCTTTTTTTGGGTGTCTTTACCTGGTTTTGGTGTCAGGGTTATGCTGGCTTCACAGAATGAGTCTGGGAGTATTTCATCCTTTTCTATGCTCTGAAATACCTTTAGTAGTTAGTGGTGTTAACTCTTCTCTGAAAGTTTGGTAGAATTCTCCACTGAAGCCATCTGGGCCAGGGCTTTTTTTTGTTGGGAGTTTTTTAATTACCTTTTCACTCTCTTCTTTTGTTACAGGTTTATTTAGTTCTTCTACCTCTGTTTGTGTTAGTTTAGGTAGGTAGTGAGTTTCCAGAAATCTATTTCCTCTATGTTTTCAAATTTGTTAGAGTACAATTTTTCATAGTATTCTGTTATGATTCTTTTAATTTCAGTTGGGTCTGTTGTGATATCACCCATCTCATTCTTTATATGGGTTATCTGCTTCCTCTCCCGTTTTTCTTTTGTCAGTCTGGCCAATGGTTTATCAATTTTGTTGATCTTTTCAAAGAACCAGCTTTTGGTCTTGTTAACTCTTTCAGTTGTTTTTCTATTCTCTATTCCATTTAACTCTGCTCTAATTCTTATTATTTCCTCTTACTCATTTTTTAAAGATTAACTTAAACACCACTTGCTAACTTAAACATCACTTCCTTCCCCATCATGGATTGAACTGTGTCCCCCAAAAATATCTGTCAACTTGGCTAGGTCATGATTCCCAGTATTATATGACTATCTACCATTTTTATAATCTGATGTGATTTCCCTATGTGTTGTAAATGCTATCACTATGATGTAATAAGATGAATTAGCGGCAGTTATATTGATGAGGTCTACAAGATTAGATAGTGTCTTAAGCCAATCTCTTTTGAGATATAAAAGAGAGAAGTGAGCAGAGAGACACGGGGACCTTGTACCACCAGGAAAGCAGCACTGGGAGCAGAACGCGTCCGTTGGACCTGAGATTCCTGTGCTGAGATGCTCCCAGACAAAGGGAAGACTGATGACAAGCACCTTCTTCTGGAGCCAACAGAGAGAGAAGGGCTTCCCCTGGAGCCAGTGCCCTGAATTTGGACTTGTAGCATACTAGACTGTAAGAGAATAAATTTCTCTGTTAAAGCCACCTGCTTGTGGTATTTGTTATAGCAGCACTAGCTAACCAATATAGTCCGCATCCCAACCAAGCAGAAAGAAATCGTTCTTTCTTCCTTTATGTGATACTTTCACCCTAGTACCACTCTTTTACTATATTTATTCATTTCCGTGTTTTTCTCCCTCACCGTAATATGTGTCTTGAGGGCAGGAATATATCTTTTTTTTTTTGAGAGCAGAACTGTATCTTATTAAGCAGTTAGTATAGACTTAATAACTATTTGTTGGGTAAATGAGTATAAAACAAAGCTGATAAAATTATGTGAGCAACCATCTGAGCATCTGATTTATTAAAAAAAGCAGTAATTTTTAAAATGAGATAAAATATTTTTGAAACAGCATCAAAAAGTAAGTACACTTAACCACACTCAATTAGCCATACAATAGCCTGTTTAATGAGCTGGAAACACAGAAAGTCAACTGAAGGAAGGCAGAGGAACTTTGTCTTGTCAGAATCAAAATCGAGGGGCTCCATAGTCATCTGGCATCCGCTCAATATTGTACCTGATCAGGACACAAAATTAACACTGGAAAGAACCAAATGCAGAGTGCAAAACTCACCTACCAACCCATCCTTCACTTATTACAACTCTTTCTCCCCACTATGAATCTTTTTTGTCAGTAGGAACATTTTAGAGGGAAATCATAATGAATGACTATAATATGATTTTATCTTTATTCTTCAAAGTCACAAAGTTAGCAAATAGAGGGCCAGGATCTGAGTCCAGGTAAATTCAGCTCCTTAGCCCATATTCTTCTCACTACATTGTGCTCTCCCCAAACTGAAAAGCTGGATAATAATGGTCTGTGGACTGACATGGAAATATTCACGAAGGAAAAAGAGCGGCTTTCCAGATGAGGTGCTAATCACATGCACCATGCTTTCAAAAAAGATTTCTGGCCAAAAAGATCAGCTTGATTTAGATTACTACTTTGTACTTAAAGCAACACATCTATTTCTTCTAGTAATCTTACTGTAACAATTTGTTCTTGCTACTTTGTCTCATTTCTTCTAATATAACTATGTAAACATTTGACACAATAATCTCTTTCAATTCTTTCTCCAACCTGACCTCATTTTTAATTGATACCAACTATATACTTTTAATCACTTCACCCAAAGACATTTCTCACCTATGGTTAGAAATGTACATGATAGGAACTCCAGGGATCTTCCGGATTCTCCGCTTAAGGTCCCGGTCAACCGTGGCTACAATGTAACACTTGTGCTGTAAGAGACACACACAGAGTGTTCACACTTGAAACTCATTAAGTCTACTTAGTGACTACTGCTTATTTGGCATAACTACTAAACTAATCTGAAGAATCATTCATTTTCACAGTAAACAGCAAAAGAAAGGATAGAGCAATTGGCTGAGTAGCTACTAAGGGCTAAGATCTTACATTTATAAAACATATAACAAGTCGCCAGGGCTGAATGTAGCCCTAAGAATTTTGAGAAGAAGGCAGAAAAACTAATTATTTAAAAGCTGTAAACTATTTTCTGTCTCATGAGTGGAAAGGACTTACTTGCACATTTGGGACAGCCAATTTCTTAGTTTTAGGAAAACGTCCGGAAAGACTCTATGCAAATTCAGAGTAAGCGCCTTAGACTGGTGGGCACAGCTCTTTCCTTTCTCTGAATCTCATGGCTTGGGCATTACTGAGGCCTCCTAGTGGTAGAGGTAGGCTACACCCTAGGCTATAGAGCCAGAAGAGGATTTCATGACAAGTTTAAGCCTGGCAGCTCTGAAAGCAGTAACATTTAGTTGCAAGCTGGAAGCTATTTTGTGTTTTACTTTACTTCTTCCAACATACCTAAGTCTTCAGTTGAGCTTATAAAGAGTTGCAGCCTGGTGTCAACTGTGCCATGGGAAATTAAGGGAAATGCTTGCCCCACCCACAGGATCAAGTAGTTAAAGGGATAGCAGTGTGATCACCATATGAAGATGACTATCTTCAGCATGGCGGCATTGGTGGCTCACTGGTAGAATTCTCCCCTTCCATGTGGGAGACCTGGGTTCGAGTTCCAACCAATGCACCCCATGCACAGCCACCACCCCTGCTAGTGGAGGTTTGAGTGTTGCTATGACTCAATGACAACGGGGTTTTTTTTTTTCTTGGTATGATGCTGAACAGGTTTCAGCAGAACTTCCAGAGGAAGAAGAAAGGCCTGGTGATCTACTTCTGAAAATCAGTCAATGAAAATCCTATGGATCACAACAGTCTGATCCCTCACTGATCATGGGCATGGCATAGGACTAGGCAGCGTTTTGTTCCATTGTGCATGGGGCTGCCATGAGTTGGGGGCCGATTCAATGGCAGCTAACAGCAATCTTCAGCAGAGAGGGGCTCAGATAAGGGCAATCAGTAGCAGTTCTTGCAGTGCTTGACAAGGAAGGCAGACAGAAGAATTAAAAACCTAATTGTTTTAGGGTACATGTGAGACAGCACCCCGGGAGACTCTCAGATTTAATTGAGAAACACTTTTGGGATTAGGCATGGTAGAGAGGGACATTACTGCTGCATGGGGAGTAAACGGAACCTTATTTTAGGTTCACAGGGAGGTGGGCTCTGATACATTGCTGGGATTTGAAACCAATGTTTCCTTCCCAAGTCTGTGCTCTTTCCATTATGGTAATAGTGTAAATTTTCAATCTACTTACTTTCTCTAGTAAATGAGGGTCCCAATGCTTCCTATGAAGAGATCCTTCATATAAATATACATTTAAAAGAAACCATTTATATTCCGAAATACATTACTGACTATCAACACTCAGGAGATACCAGTTGTTTCTTTTTCTTTCTACTACAGAGTAAAAGTGTTAGAACTTACGTTACCTGAGTTACTCTCTGTACTAAGCAGTCATCTGCATAGGTTCCTTTGTGTGTGCATGGTAATCGTTCAAATCTTGGATCCTTGGCAATCCTGTAAGGTTATAAAAGTGGATTAAAGAAAGCACTCAGGCAACTGAATAGCTTTCTGAGTCTCAATCAGTGAAATAAAAGTAACATGATCAATGTGGAGATGTTAAGGCACCTCTGCCCTCCTGAAGCTTATACTCTCATTGGGAAGATGACTCATTGGGAAGGGAATTAAAGTTTGCTGATGGCAGCTGGTGTGCCATAGGTCATTTAATTTTCACGAAACTCTGAGCTATTACATTCCTATTTTACAGAAGAGGAAGCAGATTCAGAGAAACTAATTACTGTGTTCAAAGCCACAGACTGGGAAAAGCCTGGATTCAAAACCAAATCAATGTTAACCCAAGCACTTCACTTTTAGGAAGTTCAGTTGTCTTACACAAATGTACTACAAGGATATAGGTACGAGCATGGCCATAATAGTGAAAAGCTGTAGATAATTGAAACAGCCACCAGCAGAATAAAAGTTAAATATATTTTGGTGCACTTATTCTATATATTCTCATAAAAGAGAGAGAGAGAGCTGTACGGACTGACATGGAAGGACCTATAATAAACTATGGAATAAACAAAGCAAGTCACTGAACAACATATAATATGATTCAATTAAGAAAACATAAATTCCTCTGATTTTCCTTTCTCTAGATTTGCATTTGCACAGAAAATGTCTGGGAAAATAAATACTGCATTTTTTTTCCGGAAATAACCATGCCCACACATAATTTGCATAGTGTGCTTTGGAAAATAACTGTGAAGGGGTCGCGAGGTTGGCAAAAAAACGTATAATGCACGTGTTATTTGCGTAAAATACAGTACTAAACATTCTCTCCTATAGAGTTGCTATGAGTCAGAATTGAATTGATGACAACAGGTTTTTTTTTTTTGTTTTTGGTTTTTCAGTTGTCACTCTTGCAGTAGGAGAAGGGACAAAGTGTGAATGTGGAGGGGGGACATATACTTTTCATTGTATATACATGTTCATATTGTTTGCCATAAAAAATTCAAACATACATTACTTTTATATACATTTGAAAAAGAAAAACCCTAAGTCTGTGATTCCTAGAGCCATGCTAGATTTTAAGATGATGACTCATCAAAACAAGTAAGGTAGCACCTAATGCCAAGTACAATAAAAATAATCCATATCATAATAGTTCAGAGCAAGCATTGGGTATATTTAGGAAAAATTACATGTCGATGAGAGCAAATGAAGATGAAAGAACGCTCCAAGCAAAGTAAGGGCAGGCATGTTCCAAACAGGGCACTAACCTTCTATAAAATGGTTTGGTGGCGTTCAAGAAAGAGGAAAGAGTACCTCTTTCTGGCTGGGACAAGAGTGTTAGTGGAGAAAGAGAGTGAAATAGGGCTGGAAAAGCAGGCTGAGGAAGGACTGGGAGAGTCTACCAGACTGAGCTGCATGATGCAGGTGATAGAGAGTCATTAAACATTTCTGAGTGACAGAGTGAAATGAGCAAAACTGTGTCTAGATTAAGCAGACTGTGGTGAGGAGGATATACTAGAAGGAAAATGACTGTTTGCTGAAAACTAGGTAGGCACTAGTCTAGGACTTCGCTCTTTTGGTTATTGCTTTCACTCCTGAAATCATGGATCGTACAATCTCTGTGAGCTCTTTCCTAGAAACATACTAACGTGTATCTTCTCTATTTTAAAAATGGGGGTGGGGGTGGGGGAGGAACCTTCCTTTGACTTACACCCCCTCCAGCTAACATCCCATTTCTCTGGTCTCTTCACAGTCAATCTTGGTGCTTCCACTTGGTGCCTCTATTTTCTTCCCTCCTACTCTTTATTTTTATTTAAAACAATGGTCCCCTTTCTCCCTTTAAGTTAAAGTATTTCAGGTATACAAAAAAGTATAAAGAATAAGTAAAGATGAACACCTTGCACTCACCACCTAGTCAAAGAAATAAAACATTAGAAGTAAAACAAAGCCCCCTTTCCAATCCTAATCTCTTTCCACTTCCCACAAGTAACTATCACCCTAAATTTGGTATTTATCATTTCCTCACATTTTACTACATATGTGAGATTATGTATGTACACATCTGTAAAATGTAGCATTGTTTTGCATGTTTTAAACTTTAGATAAATTACATCCTCCAAATATGCTCTTGAGTTTTTTGTTTGTTCCACATTGTTTTTGAGAACCTTCCACAATTTATCCATTCTCTTCTTAATTTGGCTGTTTACAATTTTTTGCTATTACATAGATAAGAGAATTCCAATACAATCTCCAATAGATTGGAATTTTCTATGGCAGTCCCTTTCCACCAGAACCCACAATATACAGTATGTACATACATACACAGTGAAATATATATATACTATACATAAATAAAATGTATGTATGAATATATAAAGCTGAAACAGGCTTTGTGCAACAGTACTCAATCTTTACTACACGCAATGCATGCTGATATTTTAGTTTATTCTACTTCATTTAAAAAAACAAAAAACTGGTTGTGACCCAGTAAATTGATCTTACAACTTATGGATTGTGACCTCCAGGTTGAAAGACACAGTGTTATAAAAATATGGCTGACCTCGATTTTATCAGATATTGCCAAATTGCTCTCCAAAGTGACTGTCCAATTTACACCCTTAGCAACTGAGTAGGAGAATTCTCAATACTCCATAGGCTCGCCTATTCTTGGCACTGTCAAACAGACTTTAAAAATTTTTGCCAATCTGATGGGTTTGAAATGGTATTTCATTGTGAATTTAAGGATTATTTGTCTTTTTTTATAGATTTGAAGGAGTCTTTCATATATTTTTAATATAAATCCTTTGTTGATTATATGCATTACTAGTATCTTCTCACAGTCTGCGACTTGTCTTTTCACTTGGTTTATGGTCTCTTTTGTTATACAGAATTATATATTTCAATAGTCAGATTGATAAAAATTGATAAAAGTTTTCCAGTATGGTTTGAACTTTTTAAAAAATCCTTGCTTATCTCCAAATCATTAAGATATTCTCTAAATTTTCTACAAAAAGTTTAGATCTTTAATTTACTGAGAACTGATTTTTGTGTAATTTTATATCTTTCCACAGAGCTAAATGACAATTTAATAGCTTATCACTTTCCCACTGATCTAAGCAATGCTACCACTCTGATACATTAAGTTCCTATTTTGCTTTAAAAAATAGCTTTAATAAGTACAAGTAAAATATATTGAAATTCACTAATTATAAATATATACATAGTTCAATGAGAAATTTATACATCCATGTAACTGCCATCACAATTGAGATACACAACATTTCCATCATGACAAAAAGTTCCCTTATGACCCTTTGCAGCCAGTCCCCTTTTCCCACTCTTAAGTCTGGGCAACCACTAATCTGCATTGTATGACTATAGTTTTGCCTTTACTAGAATTTCATATAAATGAAATCACATACTACATAGTTTTCTGGTCTGGCTTCTTTTACTCAGCATAATGCTATAGAGATTCATCCATGTTGCTGTGTGCATATCAGCTGATTACTATTAACCGATTAGTTTTCTATGTGGTTATATCACAGTTTCTTTATCTATTCACCTGTTGATAGATATTTCAGTTGTTTCCAGGTTTTGGTTATTATGAATAATAAAAGCTGCTGTAAGCTTTGAATACAAGTCTTTGTGTGGACATACGTTTTCATTTATCTTGGATACTTGGAAAGAGAAATGCTGGGCAGTGATGAAAATGCTCCATTTCATGATTGTGTTGGTGGTTATCTGACTATATACATTTGCCAAAACTCAACTATTATACATTTAAAATTGGTGAATCTTATAGTATGTAAATTATACCTCCACAAAGGTGACCAAAAAAAATCCATTGGTCTATCTTTTCCCAATTGGTCTATTTTGCACTTTGAATGGATCTTTTACCCATGCATAAGTTTCTAGTATCATGCATTAATCATTTTGAAAATGTTGATTCAATCAGTTATATAGATCTTTCAAATATTGACACATTTCATTATACAGTATAAAAAAAAAAATCACACTCATTAATATTGACCTCAACAGAAAAGTCTTTAAGTATTGGTAATGTGATAAGCTCATGGTAACAGATACATGTTTTCCAAAATTCTAATTTTTGCTGGAAAACTTATATTTTATCATTGGCAACAAATACAGTAAGCTGTTTTCCCTGAAGTGATAGGTTCACTTCATTAACTTTTGAGAAAATATCTGCCAAATAACAAAGCCTGAATAATCAGTGTTTGTCAGTTCTTCTTTCACATAAGAACGACATTTCATTTAAAAAAGCAGCTAGTTCATCTTGCAACTGAAACAAGGACACAAATGCTTTTCCTTGAGACAATCATCTTCCTTGGTATACAGCAGAAGTGATTTATGTGGACTTCACATTTCATCACGAAGAACACTGATGTGCACCCAAGGGTCAAGATTTAATAAAGTTAACAAATTTTACTGTTTCATCAAGGACATTCTTATGTGAAACCAGCATTTTTTAAAACTGTCAGAGGGTAGTAGTGAAGAATTTCAAATGTTTACTTTCTTAATCACAAATAGTTAACTAGTTTTGTAAGATTTTAGTTAATTTGGCCAGCCAAGAAATCTTTGGACAGCAAACAGATGCAAGAGGATCGAAAGAATCTTCAGTACACTAATCTGGAACAAATTCAGAATAGCTCCTTCCTACCTTAGAGCCACTCGATACTTCTGCCCCAATTTCTCAATTTCAGCCATTACACAGTCAGTTATACAAGGGATACCTGCCAAAGAATACATATTAGTAACAGAACTTGTGAAGAATTTGTTTTACTGTCTCTGAATTATATTCTGCTTGGAAGCTTTAAAAGACCCAGGAGACTTCTGGAATGATAGCAGAATAAGCACACTGAAATGCACTGAGATGAACAATAAGAACCAGAGGAGAAGAAAACCCTACTTATAAAGAAACTGGAGAACTGCGTCAACCTCACACCACAGATTCCAAAAACTATTTGTCATAAACAATGGCATTCAGAGAGTCAACCTGCATCTATCTCCCCTAATCTTGAGCAGAGTGTAGACTTAAAAACATAAGTTAGACAGTCCAGAAGGGCCCTTCTAACAATCCACTCTTAATTTGGAGAAGGACCGTGTGAGTGGAGGAAACGTTCCAACTACCAGTGCCCATCTTCATACTCTGGTTTTGAATCAAGACATCCATGAAGGAGCCTGGCTTGCACAGAGAGACGGCAGGAATGGGGCAGAGTGGGGTCACTAGTATTTGAAGATAGCTGTCTCTGCATGACAATAAGCCTGAGCCCAGGGTAGGGTATCAGATATTATAGAAAATTGTTTGGAAACCATATCCAAATTTAGGCTCCAGATGAAATTTCAGGCTAAGCAGAGATTACAAATCACCGATATCTGGTATTCCTACTTAAGTTCTAAACTTGTACCCAGGTAAACAGGAAAGATCAAATCACCCATTCTATTCATGCAGACCCAGATAGAACCTACTCTTCCAAAGATTAAAACGTGAAACAAAAGAAACAATGAAAGTAACTAGAAAACCAAAGGAAAGGACAGTAAATTTGATCATATAAAAAAAAATTTCTATTTGACAACTATCAAACAAAAAGCCATAATAGTTTGTTTATTGTGATGGGAAATTTGGCAATGACTATGGGTGGTGGTTGCACAACATGATTAATTAATATCACTAAGTTGTACACCTGAAAAATCTTGAATTGACAAATACTGTATTTTATACACACAAACACATACACACATATTTATAACAGTTAAAAAAAAGCCCTAATAAAGTAAAAAACTAAAGTGGGAAAATATTTCAGTACATTTGTCAAAAGGCTAATCTTCTTAACATACAAAAAGCTTATAAAAATAGCTTACAATTATGTGCTATTTTCCAGGCACTGTATTAAGTACTTTACAAGGATTATCGAATTGAATCTTCACTACACCATTAGATATGCATTATTATTATTATGATAATTCACATCTTACAGATGAGGAACCTGAGGCACAAAGAGGTTAAGTAACCAGAGAGCTTAATGGTGAAGCTAAGATTTGAACCAAGTCTGTCAGGCTCTACAGACTGGGCTCTTAACCACTCTGCTACATTTTAGTTCACAGAAGAGGACATATAAACGGTCAATGAGCATCAAGAAGCTCAACCTCATTCCTAATTAAAGAGATAAAAATTGAAACAAGATTTCATTTTCTACCTATTAGAATGGCAAAGATTAAGGAGATGGAAAAACTCAATATTGAATAAACAGGCATTCTCATACCCAGTCAGAAGGTGTATAAATCGGTGTTTAACTATTTGAGGGCAATTTTGCAATATCTATTAAAATGAAAAACATACATACCCCTTGATATTGTAATATAGCTTCTAAAAATTATGTCTGAAAGAAATACTCACACCATTACACAGAGACGTTTACAAAGATAATCACTACAGCCTTGTTTATAATAGGGAAAAACTAGAAATAAACCAAATGTCTAACAGGAGATTGGCTTAAGAAAGTATATATTTAAATAATGGAATAATATGTAACTAAAAAAAAAGAATGAGGACCATCTACATATACTGGCATAGAAAAAACATTCAAGATATATTGTTCAATGTAAAATGCAACAAGAAATGGTTAAGTAAAATGTAGTATATTCACACAATGGAAAATTACTTGGCAATAAGAATAAATGAAGTACTGATACGTGCTATAATATGGACGAACCTTGAAAACACTGTCAAGTGAAAGAAGCCAGTTACAAAGGGCCACATATTGTATGACCCCATTTGTATGAAATGTCCAGAAGAGGCAAATCTAGAGACAGAAAATAGATTAGTGGTTGCCTAGGACTGGGAAGTATGAGAGGATTTGGGGCTGGTATTTAAGGGGTATGAGGCTTCTTTGTCAGGTAATGAAAATGTGCCAAAATTAATTGTGCTGACAAATACACAGTTCTGTAAATATACTAAAAGCCAATAAATTGTATAGTCTGCGACTTATATCTTAAAGCTGTTAAAAGGCATTATAAGGAACTTTCATTTTATATGCTAGATATATATGTTTTTAACCAATAGATCAATACTTTTGTAAGGTAGAAAATAAGAAAGTTTAAATTAAAATATAATGCCCAGAAGAAAAAGCAGTTGTAAAATGGAGGTAAAGTTATGGAGTCAGGGGGCAACATATGCCTTGTTTGAGAGGAGCAATTTCAGAGCCATGCAGTAGTGAAACAGGAAAAGGCTTCCAACTGAGTAAAGAAGTAGGCCTAGGATCACTATAAGGAAAGGGAAAGTAACAGGCAACATGCTGACATACAGAAGAGAAAGCTGATGGAAAGCTAACTACCCTTCTTTGTTGGACTACCAGGTAGAAATGGAAGGACCAAACACACCGCCGTTGAGTCATTTCTGACTCATAGTGACCCCACAGGCTTTCCAAGGCTGTAAATCTCTACGGAAGCAGACTGCCACATCTTTCTCCCGCAGAGCCCCTGGTTTCGAACCACCGACCTTTCAGTTAGCAGTCCATAGCTTTAACCACTGTGCCACCAGAGCTGCTTATGGAAGGGACCAGGGGCTACAAAAAGGTCAAAGACCATCTTCAAGGCAAGAGGAAGATAAAGGCCTTTTTTTTAGATATAAAAGCAAGCAAACAAAATGTGGCACATACATACAATGGAATATTATCACTCAGCCATAAACAAAGTCTTGATACATGTTACAACATGGATAAACCTTGAAAACATTATGCTAAGTGAAATAAGTCAGTCACAAAAGGACAAATATTATGATTCCACTTATATGAAATAGCTAGAATAGGCAAGTGTATACAGACTGAATATTTTAGTGCTTACCAGGGGCGGTGTCAGGGGAGGAGGAGGAAAGGAGGACTTACTGCTTAGCGATATTGCGCTTCTGTTAAGGGTGATGGAAAAATTTGGGAACAGACAATAGTAATGATTGAAAAACATGAACCTAACTAATATCACTGAATTGTATATGTAAGCAGTGTTGAATTAGCAAATTAAAAAGAAAGCAAAGCAAACAATTAAACGAGCGGAGTAAATCTGTACTGTACTGGAATGTTTTTTCAACCTTTGCTTTGAGGTGTTATGCTACATAACCAAGCCAGTCTCACTGGTGTCGAGTCGATTCTAACTAATAGCAACCCTATACGACAGAGTAGAACTGACCCATAGGGTTTCCAAGGAGCTGCTGGTGGATTTGTACTGCTGACCTTTTGGTTAGCAGACGAGCTCTTAACCACTGTGCCACCAGCTTATTTTTAGAAAAGGCACAGTGATTGAACTACACATTATAGCTCTATTCTAAGATATTCATACCTAAAAAAAAGCTTAACTATTGGACTAAAGCTATCCTAAACAGCCACCACCTAGATACTAGTGATAGCATTACAGAGTCAAAGAAACAATTCGTCTCCAAGGGGCCAAGGACGAATCCTCCATCCGTTTAATTTACAAATATGTCACAGCATTCCTGGAGAAGCAGCTCAGATATCTGTAAGAAACATCACGGGGAATACAAAGAGCCTACCAAGTTTAGTGTCCTCCCACATACAAGGCCACCCAAGGCCCACAGAGGCACAGCAGCCCCCCAACTTCAGACTATTCTGTATCACTTCTGAAAGAACTTTTAAAAATTAAAGTATTATATGACATAGCTTAAAAAAAGAAGGTCTGTAGGAAAAACTGTTCCCTGACTATTCCTCACCCCATCAGTCCTGATCCTTAGAGACGACTATTTTACTTCATTAGCTGTTCTCTCACCTTGACAGTCCTTCGTATCTTGATACACCTCCCTGACCCCCATCTTCCCATCTTGCTAGATTTAGTAAATTAACAAATAACATTTAAATTACTATCACTAAGTGTTGTTGACTTTACAATATCCTTTAAAGACTAAGGAGGGAAGCACAATATTTTCCTTTGACTGCAATAATTTACCCTTTATGGCAGAGTATAAGCCAAACTTTCATTTGTACCTTTAACCAGATGACTGGAAAGTACATAAATATAAATCCACTACACAATGTAACAGATTTATTAGGAAGTTATTCTCTTATACATGGCCTAAATTTTCTCTTTCCTGCCCATCATATGAAGGAAGATCATATGAAGGAGGGGAGACCCAAATATACGAGGAAAATTTGTGAATGGCAAAACGCATACTTATGTGTAAATAAACTACCTCAGATCCTTCGTGGTACCAATAAACACCAAACTGAAAAAAGTTAGGGTTCGTTGATCATCATCCAACTATAGGTTCTGTGATCTTAAATAACAAAATCTCTTATTTAGCTTTTCCACACTGGACTGGAATAAAGAATGTTTCCTCCTTAATTTAAAAGAACATGTCTATTCTAAAACAGAAAATTCTCCTCCTGTGTTCAAAACTAATGTCCATAACGAAGATGAAAGCACTGTAAGTGTTTTCTGAATTGTGGAAGTTTAATCACTCCCAGTCAAATTTGTACTCTATTTCAATTCATTGAAAATGGTGATTGCTACTGTGAGCAAATTAAATGGCCAGCAATTCAATTAACTAGAACCTCACTCCCCCTCTATTCATGTATTTGGATACATACAATTAACTAACAGAATTAACCATTCTGTACAAATGTCACAGAAATGTGAAAGCATGATACTCACACTTGGCATACAGACAGTCCATCATTGACTGCACTAGGTCCAGTTTGGCTTTAATGGAGAAGTTGATAAAGTTGGTATCAACCAGGATGTGGTAAGGTGGGCCCAACTGTGTGTTATATTGGAAGAACAAGCAGGAGGGATGTTGGGGGCTGAAGGAAAAAGAAAACAAGGACACAAAGTAATGTCTACATTGATACTCTGGTATTAACAACAACAAAAATAAATCTCTGTTTAAGACAGTTTGCTATAGGTTAAAATCCCCTTTCCTTGTTCACTGAAAATAAATCCTAAAAAGAAAAGTGAGAAAGTAACAGGATACCTCAAACTCAGTTCCACTATTATACTTCACAACTTCAAAAATGCAATTATCCAAACCCGGCTCTTCCTCTAGCCAAAGTAGAACAGCCACGAGCATAGGGAGGTAGAATATAGCTATCGTGATTAGAATGATACTACAGTAAGTTTGCCATTCTCACAGGATCCTAAAATGGTTATATGAAATGTGATATAGGAGAACAGCTATCCAGAGTTAGAATTATGTACTATAGCTAGGCCTACTTCTTAGATAAAAGCCCAAGATGTCTAGGTTGAATATGGCAGTAGTCCCAAATGCTAGTCCATGGACCAATGTCCACCTATGACGATATATCCATCTGCAATCCAGGGCAAAATGAGAGGATAAGGAAAATGTGGTGAAGTTTTCATAAAGTTAAATTATTTATTTAAAAGGAATGACCTTTATTTTGAAATTACGTCCTTATTTTTTTGGTGATATATTCTGTCTTTTATAAAATGCTGATGTGTTAAAAAAAACAAAGACAATTATTTCTTTTAAAAGATTCCTGGCAAAGGAAAAAAAAAAACCCTAAAAATCCTAGATTATAACCCCAGGATTTTAGGAAGAATTTTACTACTCCGTGACATCCAAAGACTTTCAAACTGTTGGAATCAGGATATGCTCATCGATACTACTTTCATTTGCATAGTTGTGCTAGACTTACTCACGAATGACTAAACAAATCAGCTCAGGGAAAGACTTGGTTACTATGAGGTGTATAGTCTCAGAATGTCTCTTCTAGTTTGAAAGGAAAACCTGAAATTCTTGATTACTCACACTTCTCTTTCCTTGAGTGCGCTGGGATCTTTTTTTTCTTTCTTTTTAGGTTTTAATCTATCCTTTTCTTTACTAGGAAGAAAATGTAAGTTAAATCCAAGGGAGAAGAAAAATAAAACATAGCAGTTATAATTTCATTCAAAAATCAAGTTACTTTTTTTTTGTCTACAGAGGAAATTCTACTTTGTGACTTCCCTATGTTAATATCAATGTACACTTTCTGAGCACAAATAACTCAAGTGGGAGGTATCCTGGAAGTATCATAATTAATCAGAAAAACAATGAAAATTTAAAATCTCTAGCCAATAATCCATAAAAACTGTAAATGGGTAAATAAATATTGATTATATTATCCTTTCTTTCTTAGTTAGAAGCTATCAAACCAAGGATCAAAATCCACTTCCAAGCAGTCTGCAAACAGTCTGACATTTATCTTCTGCAGACTCAGGTGTTTCAACAGTAGGGAAAACGGTTTTCCAGTATGCCCTTATAAAAGGTTAAAACGTAACAACACAGATATTATACACTTTAATCTTTAACTAGAAGAAAATATTATTAATATCTTTTCTAAAAATTATACAATAAATTCATTACTAAAGGCTCAGAATATAATTTAAAAACTCTGAATGTTCTAATGACCATTCTCGTTTTCAGTCTCTTAAACACAATGAAGATAGGTCCTCATTAATAACTTTGCCCACTCTTCCCTCAAGTTGGAAAATTGTTTACGTGCTCATTATGATAGGAAGTATCATTCCACTCTCTTCTTCCACAGTGATTTGGACTCTTATTAAGATTTATAAGATGGAAGCATTTGGGAGCTTCTCATTCTCTTTCAAAAATCTTTTGAGTGTCAGGTGTTGGAGACACAAGACAAACTTAGTCTCTGACTTACCTTTCAACAACGACAACAATCTTTTCTGGGGAATGTAAAAGCAAGTGCGTAAAGATAATTCTACATACTTCACAGAACTGTTGCGAGGTTTAACTCTTAAATGGTAGAAAAGCACATAACAACGATGGGACAAAGTGAACGCTTAAGTTTTTCAATTCCATTCTCTTCCCGAGTATAACCACTCAGCAGCTAAGTGACTGCTATATACCTACCTACTATCCCATGATATACAAACCCAAGGCACAGTAATATTAAAAGTAAGTGACTCCTATCTCTCTGGCCAGCTTTACGAACCCAATTGATTCCAGACACTCACAGCCTCTGATCTCTGAGACTAAGCATTCGCTTCATGGTCGCATACTTCCTTGTTTTCTTTTGCTTCCCCTTGAAACAGAAAATCAGAGTTAAAGAGTTGGAAATACACTGAATTTTCTCGAGTCCCTTCTTTTTTCTTGCGCATTCTTCCCCTCTTCCCTAAAATACCCAGCCCCTCTTTCCCTCCCTGTCCGAACCTGGCTCACTCCCCACTACCTAGAGCATCACAGGCACCGCTCGCTCTTAAACTAAGACTTGAATGAAAATCTGTAAAGGTGAACGTGGGGGAAATTTGGCCAAAGGCTCACTCGCCATCAATCTCCGCTCAAAAACTTAGTCTCACAATCTCCCTTTTCGGACTTTCCTCTCACCATGATCACACCGCACTCCACTTCTTTCTTCCGCAATCAATGTGGGCGCGACACTTTTACGTCACCGTATGCTGCTTCCGGCAAAGGATAGCCCGGAAGCGGAAGCCACTTTCAGAAACAGAAAAACGCCGAACGGGTTCTCGACCAGTGTGGAGATCTAGCTGTTCCCGGGTGTTTCCGGGGGAGGGTTGAGGGCCAGCGTTCTGCTTGGTGCTGCTGCTGCCTCCCAGGGCGGCAGAGCTGGGACTTCGCCGCGCTTCAACCCCTAGGCCGGGTAACGTTTCTCTTCTCCACTCTTGCAGCTTGGGACAGAGCCCCAAAGACCTGTACCTAAAGTTCCAGAGAGAGGACAAGGGTCGTAGGAACGAAATCCTGGATTGCCCAGTAGTTTTGGGAAACATTTTTCTCAGCCTGCAGCGGTGGGGCTTCGTGTAGGTAGGCAGACGATTCTTCCTGAGTAAATACCCTGTATTGGTCTCGGTGGCGAGAGAGGTGAAGCAGCGCTTGAGGGCCTTTTTTAGATTATTGCTAAAAAATTGGGAACATAAGCCTGCAGGTATTACTAGTTACCAAACCAGTAGAAAGGTGGCATTTATTGTGAAGCCTTGGTGTGTCATCCTTAAAGGAAAAGGGAAAGTACCTACGATATACTCCGATGATTCTTAATCTTTTGGGGATAACATACACCTTGAAAGTTTGTGGAAAGCCAGGGACGACTCTTTAAAAAAAAAAAAAAGGCGCACACACAGTTTGTCATACAGTTTTGAGAGTCGTGGATTCTGAAGCCCGTCTGCAGACCCTCTGGGCGTCTGTCTGTGAACCTCAGGTTAAGAACCTTATCCTGGATACTGTACTTGACGCTTCATTTATGTTTCCTCTTTGACCTTCACAGTAACTTAGTGAAGTAAGTACACTCGTTTTACGTAAGGGGAAGCTGAGGCCCAGACCTTATTCAGGGATCTGTTTGATTCCAAAGCCTGTACTTTTCTTACTGTACTATGCCATCCCTGGAATCCAAAATAGCTACCAGGTTTAAAAAAATGACCATTGCATAACCTTTACTGTGAAACAGTATAGTGATCAACATGAACTTTGGAGCCAAACTTCTTGTTAGGTGCTGTCTGACTCATGGCGACCTCGTGTGTGCAGAGTAGAACTGTTCCATAGAGTTTTCAAGACTGTGACGTTTCGGAAGCAGATCACCAGGCCTTTCTTTCAATACGCCTTTCGGTTAGTAGTCCAGCACTTAATCGTTTTCACCACCCAGGGACCTATGGAGCCAGATTACTGGCATTAAAATCCCTGCTCTGCCTCTTACTAGCTGTGTAATATTGGGTGAGTTAATCTATCTGTGCCTCAGTTTCTTCATCTGTAAAATGGAGAAAATAATAATAGTATATGTCTCGCAAAGATGTTATTACTACTAAATGGGTTAAAATGTAACATCTGTAGAACAGTGCCTGCTACAAAGTAAACCTTATAAATGTTTTCTCTTATTTTTATTATGTGTTTTCCAACACACAGTAGGTGGTAAAATTAGAACTTTATGCTTATTGTTGTATTTTAATATAGTTGCTTTATTTTAGAACTCGAATGTGTTGATAACCTCAGAAACTTATTTAAGTTTTAAGGTCTTGAAAAGCTCAACTGCAGGGTGTTTTTTTGTAGTTTTCTTCTTCTCCTTTCTCTTTTAGGCATTCATGCGTTTAAATAAGTTTGTAGTTCACATATCTGACTCTTCTAGGCTTTGAATTTTTAACGTTGAAATATTGTTTAGTTGTTGTTGTTAGGTGCTGTTGAGTGGGTTCCGACTCATAGCAACCCTGTGTACAGCAGAATGAAACACTGCCCGGTCCTGCGCCATCATCGCAGTCATTGCTGTGTTTGAGCCCATGGTTGTAGGCACTGTGTCCATGCATCTCGTTGAGGGTCTGAGCTTTCTTCTTGAAGCATCTACAGATGCTGTATGTGGCTCCTGCCACATTTGATGTCACTTGAAGTTCCTCATCTTTTCAGAACAGTTTGTCTCTGCCAAGCTGTCATTCACGGGTAGAGCTGACAGTGATCATTTTTTTGATATGCAGAGCATTAGAACCTCTTGGTGATTAGGCAATAAGTTTTTTAAGTAAACATGGTCTTTTTTTTTTTTTAACATTTGGAGACTGATTAGTTTTATATATAGGTTAAGGGGGAAAATTGCATATAATTGACTAGTAATTTTGCATTTAAATTCAGGTACTCACAGAAAGACAGTCTCGTGGTAATGTGTGCCCTGAATTTTGGAACCCATGAACAATAAATTAAAACAGAACAAAGCAAAAGACAGGCAGTTTATAATTTCTATTCTGAGAATTTTCTCATTTACTTGATTGTTAATACTTGATAGAGAGTTAAATTAGTGTAGGAACACAGTGGAAGATGAGAACGTATTTAGAAAAATGCATTTTTGTTGCATTGTAATTTTATTGCAATCTGAAATTCTTATAGCCTAAGATTACAGTACTCAAATACTTTAGCGTGCTTTGATGGGAGTGGGATTGAAGAAGGTGGTGTTACTTTGTGTTGGGTGGAAGTAGAAAGTAATTGCTTTCTACAACTAGTAATTACTTTCAAGTACATACTTGTGAAAAGAAATGATTTTAGACCTTCTCATCAGTCAAGAGGGTTGTTTTGTATTTTTCTGCAGTCTTGAAGAGAGAATTGCTAAAGGTATTTGACCCCCAGTTTGAACACATAATTGGACTTCATTCCCTGCAGTAACTGGTCTATCTTATTTATTTAAGCTGATAACAAATTTCTATATAAAATTATTATCTCTAACGAAAGATTTCTCGTGAAATACTTTACATTTCGTTAGAGAGTTATAGGTAGTCACTTTTATGGCCATCAAGGGAAAAAAAATTAATTCAGAGATATTTTCTCCATTTTCAAGTTAGAGTTTTCATGTTTATTTGTAAGACACATATGATATAACTTTTATTTTCCTGCAAATGTTGTTGTGTGCCATTGAGTCAATTCCGACTCATAGCAATGCTATAGGACAGAGTAGTACTGCTGCATAGGGTTTTGTCTTATCTAGTGCTGCTATAACAGAAATACCACAAGTCAGTGGCTTTAACAAAGAGAAATTTATTCTCTCACAGTCTAGGAGGCTCTAAGTCCAAATTCAGGGTGCCAGCTTCAGGGGAAGGCTTTATCTCTTTGTCAGCTCTGGGGGAAGGTCCTTGTCATCAATCTTCCCCTGTCTAGGAGCTTCTCAGCCCAGGGACCCTGGGTCCAAAGGATGCATTCCCCTCCTGGTTCTTCATTCTCGGTGACTTGAGGTCCCCCTCCTCTCTGCTTGATTCTCTCCTTTATGTCTCAAAAGAAATTGACTCTAGATACAACCTAATCCTATACATTGAGTCCTGCCTCATTAGCATAATTGTCTATAATCCTGCCGCATTAACATCATAGAGGTTAGGATTTACAACACATGGGATAATCACAGCAAATCACAAAATGGTGGACAGCCACACAATACTGGGAATCACGGGCCAGTCAAGTTGACACACATTTTGGGGGGACATAATTCAATCCATAACAGGTTTCCTATGCTGTAATCTTTACGGGAGCAGGTAGCCAGGTCTTTTCTCCTGCAGAGCCACTGTTGGGTTCGAACCACTGACCTTTTAGTTAGTAGCCGAGCACTTAACCATTGTGCTGCCAGGGTTCCTTCTACAAACATTAGTTGCTGTTAATTATTTTTCAATTAATTTGACTGCCCCCTAAATGTGGTAGCATGATATATAGCATGCTTTGCTCCTGTAAGTTGGTACTGAGTCAACGGCAGTGGGTTTGGTTTTTGGTTTCTGCTCCTAAGGCCTTAATAATTGGTTTGTAGGGCACCTCAGAGGTAGATTATTGCTGCATGTTCATTCATTCAGAAAGCAGTTACTGAGGGCCTGTCCTGTCCTAGGCAGTGTGCTTGTTATTCTTCAAGAGCTCAGTCTTCTTTTTTTTTTTTTTT